CGATGCAACTCACTCAGGTTTACATTGGAGATACTAAGCGCTTCTAGCTCTGCTTGACTGTTTCTAACAGTCAATTAGATATAGAAGTCCAAATACTACGTAAGTGTTAATGGGCCTAAATTCTCCTCCTAGCTCTGATTGGCGGATGTTTTTTCCGCCAATGAGATATAGGAGGTTACCATGTAATCTTATCTTTCAAATAGCTCTGTTAGCATTTGATTTGATATTTTAAGGTCTTGGGGTGGTGGGACTACGGCGCACATGTCAACTTTGTATATTTAAATGTTAATTGTACCTTTTTTGTGTGTGGCGCTGTTAATATAAGTTGTTAACTTGAGTGCAGCGTCACACTGTCCTTGTTATGTCTGTATGTTTTGATGAATAAAAAAAAAAAAAAACCTGATAAACAAGAAGGTATCTCCTTCTAGTATGATGTTGTTCCTCTTTTGATGTCGTATGTTTTTGAAGCAGATTGTGACAGAACCAACCGGTGACAATAATGTAATAATGATAAGGCAGCCTTTTTCGTAACAAGACCATTGGATTTTGTACATGTACATGTACTATCTTGCATGACAGCCCAAAGAATGCCCTCGTATGGCAATCGCACGACATGTAACCATGTCCTTATTGCGTAGGAGGTGGCTGTATGTTGTCCATAGTTTTATCATCATTACATTCGCTAGGATGGAGCAAGCAAGGGCATACCGGTACCAGTGGTACACCTTACAAGTCTAAGACCTACACATTAATGATTTCCCTCTCTAGATCCTCCAATACGTCTGATCTTGCGCATTTTGTCTCGCGTCATCATATAATCTACTGGACCCATCCAGGCCAGATATGAGATCTGACCAACTACACCACGACCAGTAATACAGTTACTAGCTATATAAGGTGGTCAGGTAGAAAGGTAGATAGTGGGCAAAGGTCTACTATAATTTAACTGGTTAACTATAATATATAATAAATAAATATAATAATAACTGGTTCAAATTTCACTGTGAATATTCTGTTCGAACCACGCAATCATGGAAGAATTGTAAGGTAGCATGTCTGGGCTATCACCTTTTGCAAAGGCTCTGAAATTATGAAATTGCTCTAAATATGTAGCGTATGTATATAGTCCATTGCAGAGTTATCCGGGTGGTTTGCTAATGCACAAAAGGCATTTAATAGAAAAAAATCCCCTCCGCGAATCTGTTAAATGGAATATCCCTGACACAGGGTTGCACTCAAATGCCCATCCAAAAGCGATTGATCCAGCGGCGGCGACCACTCCCTCACCTGCCGGGTCACTTTCCAGGCACGGAATATCTGCACTGTTCGTGTCAGATCGATAGGGGGCGGCAGGAGGGTGGGGCACAGCAGGGGGTTGGCGTTTTGGCCACCCCAGACCATATAAGGTCATGTTGTCGTAATGGACCTTTGCTGAAGACCGTTTGGAGACATTTTGATTTCCCACTGACCAATAGAAGGAGACAAATACATATGTTAATGCATACAAAGGTCACCAACCCGTGCTGAAAAACAAAGGTGACAGAAGACCAGAATATTCAAGATGGCGACTGAGAATGGAGGGCAGATGGAATAAAGACATGAATAAACAGCGCCTCCTGGGCATGGAGGGGAGAGAAATGCCATGCGCATGGATACCTTATAATTACCTAAACTTAAGCATGCTATCCAACGAAACAATGATAAAACTGTATCAAATTCCACTTTTTTTCACTGGTTTATTACATCCAAGAATAAGGCTTTTCCTTCATAAGGACCGGAATGACCCGTGGGCAAACAAACCTCTATCCTCAACTCAAGACATGACGTCAGTTTCATCTAAAACATGAAAACTGTTATTTTCAGCAAGCGGGAAATTATAACAGTTGAGATGCGCCTGGATCATGCAGGGAATAGGCTGGTTTTCTGTCTCATATTTTGCCGCTGAAGTTAAATCCCGCTTCGTCAGCAGGCCCTGAATCACCGGCAGAATACCAAAGGAACATCTGTGCCACCGGCCAGCAATCGATATGCGGGGGCAGCTGAAGCGGAACACTGCCAGAGAGAGCAGGGGCTCCGGCTGGGAGATCCGAGCCGGGGAAAACACGGGGAAACCGACTGAAAAGAGCAACATCTGCGAGCAAATGCATCAGTCGCCCCTCCGTATTTTCCTTAGATATTATCACACAATGTAGTATCTGAGCAGTCGCAAAGTCTGATTTATATTTGGTCATTATCTGAGCACTGTTCAATTTGCGAACCAAGTGCAAAACCGCGGTACTTGGACAAGCCCAACAATCTAGCCAAGTAGTGGACCATGCAGTATGATAGGTGCTGGCAGACATTACTGTAAAACTGTCCAGCAGATCCCTCCACAGTTTCAACAGGCTAAATCCATCGATCAAACAAACACGGACCAACATTTTAAGTAGTGCCTCACAAGGTCCTTTTACATACCTAAACTCCAGAAGGCGACAGAAAATAAAAGGTAACTTTAGGTGGACACTGAGATAGGACGAATTGTGTTAACCAAAACATATGGGACGGACCAGATATTTATTTTGTGTTGACATTTAAGATCAGTCCTTACGGGGCTAAAGGTATCAATACATCATTGTGGAAGGAAGAAAATAATTAACGATTCTAAAGAAAACAAAAATTATATGAACCACTCATCCAACTAGTGTAGCCAGTCAGTAAAGACACATTACATGGTTATCACCAATAACTAAGCATACATACTGAAGTACCACCCATAAACTGTATACGAAGGAACATGGCCCTGTGCACGTGATACTTTATTTAAGATGCACTTTCAAAATGTATAGAAATCTCCAGATGCCGTACGTAACTCTAGAAGAAAAGGCGGCAGTGTCAGAGAACTATCAGACCAAACAGATAGACGAACACAGCGTTCAATACATGTTCAAGACAGTTCTGACTTGCCGCGGCCCTAAACAATTCAAATGTTCGAATTCAAGTTAAATACATCGTGAAAGCCATAAGGCAGCTACATGCGAAAAATGATTGTCTCTACCCTAATATATACATATTCGTAGCGCGGTGGCTGCTCGGTGGCCATGTTTTTACACACAGGTCTGTATCAATAACAGCAGTCATCAGTCGGGGATCTCTCGCGCAGAGCCATCTCCGCCAGGGGACCTCAATTGTCAAATTACATACGGCAAGACGTATTGCCGGAGCCAACCGAATGGGGGCGCGGGTGGGGAGACGCGCCGTGCAGAGACGGGCTATAAGCGGTATGGCTGGTTGAGATGGCGGGCACTATACAACACCCAAGGCCGTCCGCCGGTTGTATTACATTCACGGCATAAAACCATGACTAATAGTCAGCAACTCAAAAAATCGGCGTTGTACATGGCAATCATTGAATCAAATGAAATTGTTGAAAATACGTAAGTGCTGATATTACGAGAACAAAGACGTCATTTCTCATCAATAACGTTGAGTAAAAACGCAGCATTTATACACGTTATAAACAGACATTAAACGAAGACGCTATCGAAATAACCTATGCTGAAATGTCAACCCGTAGAAAGTTTAATTTACGGAATGTTGGGAGGACCAGTGTTGGGGGTTTCACAAGTTTTCTTCAGTCCGTAATTGTAAGATTTCCTACGAGGACAAAAATGCTAAGATTATCAGCAAAATATATGCTGGTTGCAGGCGATCATATTTCTTAATACTAGCCCCCTTCTAGACATGTAAACCTAAACTAGAACTGATCTCATAATACAGAGAGTTCCATACTAAGTATCAGTTTGATGGGGACATATCAGGACAAGTGGTCTCACAATGTCAAAAGATAAGGAACACATCACGGGGTCAAGCGCGCAGGCCGCCGCCTTATCGCCATCACCTTTTTTCTTGGTACCCTTGTGCCGCTCTGAACAGTCGATCTCTGACCTATTTCTGCGTGTCAATGGAAGATTAGTATATCAGAATTTGAACCTGTGCTGACATACGCTGATTGTTACGTTTGATAACAGTAATAAGCTGATCTGCACTTTTCTAGTTTAGAGAGATGTCAAATATCTGAGGTGACAAAATGGCGCCGAATGCGAAGACACCCGAATGGCATAATGGGATAGCAGAAGGGGGCTGGGTAGCCAGGTATACTGTGTTATCAGTATTCCTTACTGAAGCAATCGGGTGTACGCAAAGGTTTAGACAGATTTCTCCCAGATATGTATAAAATAAGTGACTTGTGAATTCGCCACATTCTGTAGTATATTAACTTGCAGTAAGACGGGCCGTATCTATCTAATAGTATCTACATGCGTTTCTGCCGTGGTACTTAAGGTCAATGTGAGACCCCATACAGGCGTTTGGTAGAATGTACCTCGTGCATTGCATAGACACACATTCACACCCCATATAGACACACAACATGGACAGCAAGTTGTCACATACACAACATATAGAACACGGAATTCTTGTCAACGTTATACATGTAATATGGGCACATAACAAACAAACAAACACACATACAGAGCATTAGAGCCCTTTAAATTTACAATTACTCAAGTAGTGCCCACGTCACAAGTGGACGCTGGCGTGATATCAATCAGCACTGAGAATGCCAACACTTGTTTTCCTCTCGATTAGCCAAAGAACCCACCAGAAGCGTTCATAGAATAAAGTGACTGTTGACATCACATTGATGCTGGTATCACGCCAGCTCCGTAGACATTCATGTGTACTTTTACATGGTAAAAAGGTACACTACACTACTTCAAAGCAATGGTTGAACAGACGTGATGAACAAGACGTCGGTGCGGATGAAACATGTGCACGTGAAACAGAAACATGTGCGCGTGAACACAAACATGAAGCATGCACGTGCGCATCACACATTTTCCACGTGACTCACTGGTGTGCAGGTGACGGAATGCCGGAATAGCATACCGGTTGGTGGAGGAGATGGAGTCGTGCTGGTGAGAATGAATTCACGGCATGCAAAAGGAGAACTACGGCTCTACCTCACTACGTCGGGGAGGCCATGGCGACTACACCACGCAGGCAGAGAGTTGAGATCGGGGTAGTTTCGGGGCCTACTGCCAGTGCTGGTTCTGCAGGGAAAGGATAACACATGGTCAGCCACCAGAACGTAAAACAGGGTTTGTCAGGAGAGAGGGATGAGAGAGGAGGTTTGTCAGGAGAGAGGGATGAGAGAGGAGGTGGTGGGCTTTTCCGAGTATTTAACCCTCCGAGTGTCAGGCGCCGATGAAAAGGCGTTCTTGTAATCGGTCCGGACACATGGAGTGTTAAACGTGTGGAGGCGGCAGTCGGTTAACGTTTTGTATCCCCGTCCACACCCCTTTCAGATTTAAAAATAAAACTCTGACCTGCCCCATCCGTCAACAGAACAGCCCAAAGGCCGCTTTCATAAAAGGGAGATGAACGGTAGAGAGAAAAGACGGCGGTTTCAGAATAGATCCCCAACCGTATTCATTTTCAGTTGTGCAATATTCAGCTGACCTTTATCCGTATGTTCATTTCCCTCCCACCCCCGTCCACACACCCACGCACACAGTCCGTCTTCTCCCTCCACAATCTCTCCCCTTTATGAAACCGCCCGGGGTTAGTACGCGTTGTTACATTGATTCTACAACATTCCGTCTCATTCACAGTGAAAACTAAAAACAATGCATGAATTATATACAAAGGGTTCGCAGAATTAGAATGATTACAATGACATACAAGTAGTTATTCTACATGTGCAAGTTAGTAATGTGATTAATTGATTCAATTGATGTTGGCACGTGCAATCTTCAATAAACATGAATGATTAGACATAAGTGTATGAGAAGGTTAAGATAGTGTATCACCACTTCGGTTCTCACCTTACACGACAGAAAATGCAGCTTTTGTATCCTTTGTTTCGAGATTAACTTAGTTTGATTTAATTTCACGGCGTTTATCTTCATCAATAGATTTCAAACCGTATTATATCTAGTAAAGTGATAAAGACAGATCCCAACTACTGTGCTATTGCAGTCCTAATTGACCGTGTGAGCACGGCAATACAACAACGAATCGCAAGAGGGACCTTCGCCACAAGAACAATGGTACCAGCTCTATGCGGGATGTTGGTAGATGCGGCATATTTCAAAGAATAGCCATATACATATATATGTATAGATATGAAAGCTATGAAACATTTTCCTATCGAAGCATATATAATTTTTGCCATTCGTTCTCAAAAGCATTCGATGATCATGGGCGCAGGGGCCAATATGGCCGTCAAAATTAAACCTTGTAACCTTGCAATATACGACTTCAACAGTAGGTGTCATGATAGAACAAACACTACATTACTAAATTTAGATTTAAATATAGACTATTGGTATCATTATTTGTCAAAGACCTGGAAATACGTTGTGTAAGTGTAAGTAACTGACTGAACAGCTTAAAGCAATGTATATAGGGAAACGGCACAATGTAACACAACAGACTGCTGCGGTACTAAGGTGTAATTTTCCTCGCGAAATACCGAAACACCCATCATGGATGCAATGTTTTAGTAGTCGTGCTGTGTGATTCGGTGCCAAAAACAGCCAAAAGTTCAGGTAAAGTAATCACAATAATTCACAACTTAAAGGATTGAAACAAGTGCATTCATGAGCCGTTACAAAATACCACTCCGAGTTCACCAAAAATACAGATTGTCTGAGGCACCCCCTCTCCTTAACCTAATTTGGTAGGACGAAGACGCAGACATGTACGGGGTGACCTCCGGTCAGGACACGTGTACATTATAGGCTCGCACAGACCGACATGTTATTGGACATGGAGGCATTTTTATGACGTTTCCTGTCGATTCATTATGCATTAATATCTTCCTGTCTTCCTAAGTGGCAGTTTTACACACAACCCTGTTTTTCCAGTTTGGTTTTTATTTTTAGAAATCTGTCCAAGCTTGTAAAATTGATCAATGTCTCTTAATAAATGCCGGCAAACACTGAAATTATCTTATTATCAGGTAAAGGACTGTTGGTTACCCGGATCTTAGCAGGGAAGCTCATTGGATGAGAACACCACGTGACCAATCAATAGGTGCCACTGAGGATTGAATGAGTGACGTCACGTGTCAAATTGACATTGATCTTTGAACACCTGTCACGGTATAGCGTCCGAATAGGTCAATGATAGGGCAGTTAGGCGCCTTTGTTCCTGCGGGCACTCTCCTGGACGCAGGGGGAATCGGAAAATCATGTCAGAGCAAGAAGGCCGGTCTCAAAGTCAAATTTCATTCAGTTAAAGAATTCAATTGACATGCTGTCAAACATTTTTCTTAAGCCAATGAGGACATGAAACCATGGCCATTCTTTCTTCTTGATCAACTGTTGTCCTTTATCTGGAGTGAAATACGTCTTCATAACCCGCACGCAACTTCCGTGTCATGCCCGTCCACTCCAGGGAATACCGTCTTAATGAAGGCTTCCGTTGGCCCTTGTTATTGATGGCCTCTTCTCAGAACCTTAGGTCAGAGAAAGCTCCTGTTGAGACCCGTGCAGTTATGGGTCATTTCGGCGTGTGCCTCGCAAGTGGCGATTGCATCAGCCCACTTAGTTTTCTATTACATCTGGTTTCCTCAGACGTGGAAAGGTTGCTGATCTAAGTGCGGTAGCAAGTCGTGTGTACATGTATGTCTTTGTCAATGGCAGGCTTGTCTATGCTTTGTTCTTGAAAGTAAGCCAAAGTTATACACTTTATGGAACTAAACTTGACTTAGTTTGTCTTTCATAAGATCTAGTCGGTCACTAATCCAATGGCGTTCTCAAGATTACTGGACAAGCAAAAGCGCCTGTAACTTGTATAGCAAATAAAGATGTCTTCAGCATGGCTGACTTTAGCCTGAACACACCAGGTTTTAGCCTGAATACATCAGGTTTCTAGCAGCTCTTCCACTAATCAGGCCATTAGAAACTTGGTGGGCCACCTGTGCGTCAGGAGAATTGGGAACATGTATATGTGCTCACATGGGCCAATTATTGCGAGACTGAGAATTGTTCATTACCACGGTGTTGGAGGCTATGATGACTGGTTTCCATAGTGTCAGAGACTTCTGAGCTCCTATTGGACTTGTTTTCATGTTGACAAAGAATCCTGGTAGTTTTTTTTGGGGGGGGGGGGCATTCTCGACTTCTGGGAATGGTTCTCTTTAGTTAGAGAGGTGTATGACCACAAGCTCCTGTGATGGAGGTTCAATCAGCGCTAGCCCCCGACAGCGAGTAATTTTGTAACACAGGCTCATCTGATAGCTTTGATAAACTTATCCAAATGTGGTCACAGTGATACACTACTGGTACAAGTTGGCTAAAATCATATAACAACTCCGTAACAGTCATGCAACCGTCTCTTCCGACAGATAGCCGACTGGTCAGGTCTGGTGCGCCGTGTTAAAAGATCGCCACAAATGCTGCCCCGATGTGGCCGTGAGCCGGATTATTGACTGGAATCTAGGCATTAAGAGATCCTGTTTCACAGATCGATAGGTAATGTGTCGTTAGATTACCGATTCAGCTGTTAATCCCAATCAGCCAAAGGCGTTATCGACCGGCCGGCCAGATCATCGTCAGGCGATACCAGTTGATAGGGGTGCTTTCACCATATACCATATACAATACCTGGATCTGTCCATCCGTGAGCGTGAACAGCAATGGGATTGACTGAAGAATTCTGAGCTGAACGCTTCAAAGGACTACAATGTTCGTATGACAAGGGAAAAGGTCCCAATCCGCTCCCTGTTATAGAAATGTGAAAGTCTTATATGGATATTGTAATGAAAGGATGGTTAATGTCAAATCTGTAATAACATAATGGTTTTCTCTTACTACAATTCCAAAGCATAGTACATGGATGTACGAGAAAAGCAAATGGTTTCCAGAACTGATGCTAACTTAATCCAGAAGTCCTTGTATGTCATTTTCAATTCGAAATTAGTTTCCTGAAAGGCAAGGTCGCCTTTATCTGGTTGGTTGACATGTGTACATTTATCTTACATTGGTGGCCTAAACAATGGATATTGTTGTTCCACGGAGATTGTAGCAGTGATTGCAGCAGTGATATGTGTACAATGCCAGATTATATAGCTTGCGCGAGATATATAACATGGACACACAGTGGAACAACAACAACCATTGATTCAGCACCAAGGAAAGCACACAGTCTATTTACATAGCACTGATAGCAGGGCAGTTGCAACGAATCTCTCGTTGCGGTCGGAAACATATAATTGTATTCGTTTCAGCCTGAAGCTGCATTGATCTGCTGGAGGGGGGTGCAGTGCCAGTGGTGAGGCTGAGACAGTTTAATCCCAAGCAAACACAGACCAGCATAGATTGTTGCCTTCAATCGCGACGATCCTGTTCTTTAACCTCTATGTCATATCATTTCAGCACAATAGTTTTTTAAATCATTTTTTCTTTTGGTAATATTCAAATGAAGTACAGCGCTGCATTGTGGGTGCCCCACACAATGACGTACAATGCGTTGTATAATTCTCTGTTGATTGAATCATTATAGATTTCAGGTTAACTTGCTGTCCAAACGCCGGGTTCCTGGCTAGTTTCTGGCCATGCTCGATCCCAATACAACCTAGCCTGTCCACCAAATCCGCCGAAACTCCACATCGCTATGTTTCCAGCAGACGTACGCCGGACCCTATACTTGAGTGCTGCAGCCTGATAACAGCGGTGT